GGGGCTGCAGCCAGACAGACCCCAATGCCCTGCGTGTGGGGCACAGGCAGGAGGAGCTGCAGCCCCAAGTCTCTCTTCATTCCACTTGGAGGTAATAACAGCTGTGGCCTGCTGAGACAGTTCCCAGGTTGCAGGGCTGTGATGGGTTGGGAGAGAAGGCCAAGGAGACACAGGAGAGAAAGAGCAGGAGAGAGGTGTCCTCAGTGGGAAGGAGCTTCTGGGACCTGTGGAGCTGCTCTAGATGATGAACAACTTGGGTGAACTTTTGTGGGTGAGGGTCAGAGGAGAGACTGGTTTGGATGACTTTGTGAAGTGAGACAAAGAGCCCATTCAAGTTGGCTTTGATAACCCTGGAATTCACTGAAAAGGCACCACGACAGGATGCAAAGAGTCCCATAGGTTTGTGCAGAGTCTTGGTGAAGACACCCCTTTGGACACAGGCCTTTAGAGCACAGCTGGCAGGTTGGTGGACAACAGGGACGCTCATCTGCATCTGCTTCTGTCCAAGAGGAACCAAGAGGGTACCACAGTAAATGACTGTAGAAATGGGAATGTATGTAGGTTGCCGTGGTATCTGACTATAGCAATAAGAATGTATGATGGTAGCCATGTTAACTGCCCATAGCAATGGAAATGTCTGATGGTTGCCATGGTATCTGACTGTAACAATGGAAATGTATGCTGGTTGCCATGCTAACCGACCATAGCAATGGGAATGTGTGATGGTTGCCATGGTAACTGACTGTGGGGGAAAAACAATGTATGATGGTTGCCACGGTATTTCACTGTACCAGTGAGAGGTATGATGGTTCCCATGGTAACTGATAGTATCAATGAGATTGTATGATGGTTGCCATGATAACCGACTGTACCAGTGGGAAGTATGATGGTTCCTGTGGTAACTGACTGTAGCAACAGGAATGTATGCTTGTTGCCATGGTAACCGACCATAGGAATGTGACTTTATGCTGGTTGCCATGGTAACCGAGCATAGCAATGCGAATCTATGATGGTTGCCATGATAACAAACCGTAACAATGGAAATGTGTGATGGTTGCCCTGGTGACTGTAGCAACGAGAATGATTGATGCTACCAACCGTAGCAATGAGAATGTATGATGGTTGCCATGGTAACTAACTGTACCAAAGGGAAGCATGATGGTTACCATGGTAACTGACTGTAGAAACGGGAATGTATTATGGTTGCCATGGTTGTATGGAATGTATTGTGGTTGCTATGACCATAGCAACTGAAATATGTGATGGTTGCCATGGTAACCAACTGTAGCAATGGGAATTTATGCTGGTTGCCATGGCAACTGACCATAGCAGTAAGAATGTGTGATGGTTGCCATGGTAACTGACTGTTGAATGAAAAATGTGTGCTCGATGCCGTGGTAACCGACCATAGCAATGGGAGTGTATGATGGTTGCCATGGTAACCGAGCATAGCAACAGGAATCTATGATGGTTGCCATGGTAACTGACCATAGCAATGGGACTGTATGATGGTTGCCAGAGTAACTGACCATAGCAACGGAAATGTATTCTGGTTGCCATGGTAACCAACCATAGCAATAAGAATATATGGTGGTTGCCCTGGTAACAGACCAAAGCAATGGAAATGTGTGATGGTTGCCATGGTAACTGACTGTAGCAAGGGGACTGTGTGATGGTTGCCATGGTAACTGACTA